CCTGTTGATGGTACAGAAGTTGTATTGACTGTTGTTGGGGCAAAGTGGATATTAGAGGGTCATGGGCGTATTAAGTGAGTGTGTAAAAACTGCAGATGAAATAAGCTATATGTATAGGTTGTATTGATCATGCTGATGCTATAAAAACAATTGAGGCAGAAAGGATAGGGTAAAGACCAATTTGATGTCGAGAAATATAACGGTGTGCTCTGCAAGATGGAGGGACTGTGTAGGGGTTTGTTAGATGTAAAATTCTGGTTATTGTGATTTAACATTTAAAAGTTGCATTAGCTCTGTGATAGAAAGAGTCATAGCAGTGTAATGGTGATGTCACTGATAATCCAAAAAGGCATGCTAATATCTGAGGATGTGGGTTCTAATCTCACCACAATAATTTAAATTTAAATTCAATTGATTGATTAATCCACAATTGAAAACTAGTCTCAGTGATGGTGACCATGAAATTTGTGTCAATTGTCATAACAACTCATCTGGTTCACCAATGTCCTTTAGGAAAGGAAATCAGTCTTCCTTACTCAATCTGGCATACATGGATCTCCAGACCCACAGCAATGTCGTTAACTCTTAACTACCTTCGAAATGATTGATCAGGTCACTGAGTAAGGGCAATTAGGGATGGGAACAAATGCCAAAGATGCCCATCATACAGTGAAAAAATCTTTAAAAAAAGGACTGATGACAAAAGATGCAGCGTTACTGATAGTCGACCAATGTTTTTGAGTTAATGTTTTGCCCAATCCAGGTACAATATGCTGTAGAACTTTCCTGAAGTATTGTAGCCCTGGTCTCAGAGATGATGCTTACTAGGAACACTGTCTATGCATTGTCTTCCAATAACAGCAGAAAGGAATTCTGGCCTAGTATATAATGGGGCAGAAAATGTGCCACTGCCTGTTTTTGTGATATCACTGACCTAATTAACACCTTCTTGTTGGGTTTCAAAATTTTATTCTCAGAATCAATGTCGGAGACAAAAGTCTTAATTTTCGTAAAGTGTCATTTGTAGTGATTGTAATGAGGTCAGCCAGGTGGACCGCATAGATTATGAGTTCTCTGACTGGGGCTGTTAATTTGGTCCAATCAGGGAGCCCTGGCTGACAGATATAAAAAACAATATCAAACATCCTGTTCATTCTGAGATCAGTGTCAAGGATTTTCCACATGTAAGTAAAGGGTGACTTGCTGATGGGCTAATGGCCTCAGTGGAGATATTTCAGAGATGACGAGAGAAAAGCATGCTCCTGGAGAAATTTGCTCGCTTTGAGTTGGGGTAAGGTTTTTTGGCATCATGCTGTTATTTGGGAAGCTTGACTCGTTCGATCCTTCCATCAAAAACTGGAACCCGTATATGGAAAGAATGCATTTTTTTTCCGGGCAAATGACATTGGAGCAGATGAAAAGCAATGAGTAATTCTCCTGACAGCTTGTGGACCCACAGCTTTTTTTGTTATTAGGAGCCTAACTTTCCTTGAGGCACCAGATACTAAAATCTTTCAAGAGTTGACAGATTTAGTTAAGGAATATTACGACCCAAGCCTCCTTTAATTCTGAGATACTATCAGTTTTACTTGGCAATTTGAGAACCGGGGGAATCCGTATTTGGGTTTTTGACTGGGTTAAGATAACTGGCAGAGGCATGTGACTTGGATTTAACCCTTAATGAGATGTTGAGAGACCATTTGGTATGGGGGAGTAATGATGTAACCATGCAAAAGTGCTGACTAGCTGAAGCCCACCTGAACTTCAAACAGGTACTACAACTGGCTTTATCAATGGAAAATCAGGAAAGTGGAGCATATAAATTGCAGGGTATTCCGATGGAAGTGGACACTCTCACCAGTCTGACTGAGTTTGGGGAACACCACTTGGTGAAGGCAATTGCATAGCCTCAGTTAGGACATATCCTGAACAGAGAGACTCTAGGTCAGTCCACAGCAAAACCCCAAAACAAATTCAAGCCTTGGGCCAATGTTTACAATTTTCTTCATGATCCAGGTCAGTAAGCCATTGTAAATGCTGCCAGTACGCAGACCTGAGACCGCAATAGAGTCCCATGAGACCTAAATTGAGTAAGTAAACTCATCGGCCAGTATCCAGGAGAATGCACACCCTGGAAAGTCCATCTACGTCTGCTTTGGAACAGTTACAATGTTTAGCAACATGCAAATCAGAACCTATCAAAATGAACGTCTGGTTAAATGGTTACCTGGTTCTAATGGAGATCGATACTGATATGACTGTTTCAGTGATTGCAGAATCAGTCCTTAACAAATTTTGCTTTGGCCTCCGACCCTTAAATTTGTGTAAGGCCTCGGCTAGACTGAGAACCTATACCGGGGAATCTTCATAGATTAAACGTACAACTTCGGTTCTGGTCTTGTATGAGAAGCAGCTGGTTCAGTTACCACTGATTGTAGTGAAAGGCTCAGGCCCATGCCTGATGGGGTGAAATTAGTTAAGAAAGATTCACCTAGGTTGGCTCAACATTTTTTGATTAGAAAATAGCTGCCTGAGTGAAGTCCTAATTAAATACCCAGAAGAATTTCAGGAAGGTCTAAGGACTATCAAAGGTGCCAAGGCCATCTTGCATGTGGACCACAAATCAATTCCACGATTCTGTAAGGCCCACCCACTACCATTTGCCTTATGGGCAAATATAGAGGCAGAAATCCGGAGGCTGGAAAGTGAAGGAATCATCAAACCAGTCCAGTTGCTGGAATGGGCAGCACCGGTCCTACTGATTGTGAATCCTGATGGGTCGGTTCGCCTTTGTGGGGATTTTAAACAAGCAGTAAACCACTTTTTGCAGCTGGATAAATACCCAATCCCTCACATAGAGGATTTATACACAAAGTTGGCAGTGGGGCTGTCCTTTACAAAGCTGGGCATGAGCTATGTGTACTTGCAATTGCGGTTGGATGAGGATTACTAGAAGTATACTACGATTAATACCCATAAGGGTTTGTATCAATATATAAAACTGCCATTGGGATACCATCAGCCTGTGCAATTTTTCAGCAGATGATGGAGAACATTTTACAACGTCTACTCTAGGTCGCCATTTATCTAGATGACGTGCTAATAACAGGGAAGACCAATAAGGAGCACTTAGAGAACTTGGACATAATCCTTAGACATTTCTGCCAGGCAGGCATATGCCTTAGAATTGAAAAATTTACGTTCATAGTGACCTACTTGGGCTGCAGAGTTGACAAGACCGGGTGACACCCATTGGAAGATAAAGTGAGGGTAATTAAAGTTGCCTTGGCTCCCACATCTGTACTGGAGCTTAGGCCCTTCCTTGGGTCAGTGAACTGTTACAGAAAGTTCATACATATCCTGGCCTCCATCCTGGCACCGCTACATCAACTCTTAAAAAAGGGTCAGCCTTGGAAATGGTCGCACAGCAAAGCCATAGCTTTCAGGGAAAGTGAAGAAACAGCTGTCATCCTCTAAGGTGTTGGTACACTATGAAGCGAGATCTGGTGTTGACATGCGATGCCTCTCGGTATGGTATTGGAATAGTATTGGCTGATAAGTGGTCCAATGAAGAGGAACGCCCAATAGTGTTTGCATCTACGGCTTTGGCTAATAAAGAGCATAAATATGCCCGGAAAGAGAAGGAAGGTTTGGCAGTCATATTTGGAGTCAGGAAGTTTCACCAGTACCTTTAATGATGTAAATTTGTAATAATCATGGACCACAAATCCCTGCTAGGTCTGCTTAAAGAGGACAAGGCAGTGCTGCCCACAGCTTCAGGCCAAATTCAGTTGGATATCGTCAGCCTGTGCAGTTTTTCAGACTGCTGAAGATGAGGGTAAATTGCAGGCTGTTCAATTTAAGGATGGCTTTAGAGGCTGCGCAATATAAGGGTAATTTTGCAGGCTGCACAATGTGAGGGTAATAGTGCAGTCTGCACAGTTTATAGACAGTAGTGCAGACTGCACAATGTTAAGGTGAATGTTGCAGATTGCATAATGTGAGGGTAATATTACAGACTGCTCAATGAGAGGGCAATATTGTGGGCTGCACAATGTGAGCGCAATATTACAGACTGCTCAGAGTAAGGGTAATATTGCAGTCTGCACAGTTTATAAATAACAGTGCAGACTGCACACTGTTAAGATGAATATTACGGACTGCACAATGTGAGGGTAATATTACAGACTGCACAATGTGAGGGTAATATTGTGGGCTGCACAACGTGAGGGTAATATTGCAGACAGCTCAGTGTGAGGGTAACATTGCAGACTGCGCAATGTGAGGGTAATATTGCAGGCTGCGCAGTTTATAGATAATAGTGCAGACTGCACAATGGTAAGGCGAATATTGCAGACTGCACAATGTGAGGGTAATATTAGACCACATGTCACATAGATGCCCTGTGTGATGATGAGTACAAATTCCAGCGACACTAGAGGAGTAACAGGTACTGCCAGATCTTTGCAATCAGTTTTCAGCATGTGCCACATGCACCATGTTTAATGTAACGTCAGTTCTGCTATGTGTTTGCTTTTTGCAATACGTGGGAGCATGTTTAAAAGCTCACAAGAACCCTGTTCGGAAGTGGCGGTTTGACTAAGACAACTCTCTCGAAGAATTAGTGAAAAGGTCCATGACTCATTTCTATTTCTGTCTCACAATGAACAGCATAAGTACTCAGCCTAATCAGGAGATACATGACCTAACAGCACCCCTTCAGTGCTCTGCTCTCTGCAGGGACCAAAATGTAACATTTAAGATAGATAATGGGTAGTGATTCTAAGCTGAGTTGGCAACTCATGTTAAATCAGAGTAGTGTCTTAATCAATTCTTCCTCGCAATTGTCAGGAATCCATTTGCTTCAGTCAGTAGTAATTGTCTCACCCTGCACACCATTGAGGACTAAGGGAAATGGAGTGGAATTAGAAAAGAAAAACATATCAGGAGTTAAGGTTCTTTTTTTTAAAGAGTCTGAGAAAGCTGTTGTACTTACTCACCATACAGTACAGTGATGAGAGAGACGGGCATGACAAGGATCCCCACCAGCATGTCTGCTATGGCCAGAGACATGAGGAAGTAGTTAGTGGCATTCTGCAGTTTTTTCTCCAGTGACACTGCCATGATAACCAGAATGTTTCCCCCGATTGTCAGGACGACGATGATGATGATAAGAAGGGCTGGCCAGTTTTTCCCCCTTCTCTCACTGCAAGCATCACTTGGTTGGGCTTCAGGGGCAAGGGTAAGGTTACAGGAGCCAGATCGATTTACCGTAAACCCTGTCAGGCCTCTGCTGCCAAGCACGCTGAGATTCAGCAGAAGCGGTGCCATGGAGTACGTAGTCAGATTGAGAGTGTTCCCCACTTCAGTTAAAGAACTCATTCTTGGAACCTTGGCTTTCGGGGCTCACAGGCAGAATCTTTCATATTCATTAGTGTCACCATCGGAGGCAAAAAGGAACACAAGGTCCTGACACGGAGAGCCGGGAATGTGCAAATTGAAAGCCATTATTCACCTGGCCTCTCTCGAGTATCATTAAAGACAACATTCACTCCAGTCCTGTCACCATTCTTAAGAAACATATAGTCCAGACCGAAACTGCAGCAGCACAACCGTTCCAAGTGATTCATCCTTGCGTGTGTTCATCACTGGCTTGTTTCACCAACTCCAGCTTCCTTTTAAAAAACGATGCTGATTTCATTATGGTCAAAGAAAAATAATCTCTATCCCAGATCAAAACGGCACGTGTAAAACTAGCCCTTGACCTCAGGCTTGTTATTCATTCATCAGTGAAATAAAGCTGCTGATGTTACACCTTCAAAAGCTCAAATTCTTTTCCTTTTGCTTCAGACGGATAGTTTCCTTGCAGTGGGGTTTTCAGAGTGTATGAGCTTGTTTGTCAGTGAGGAGGATCAGTCTGTGGTCTGTGTATTTTCATTCATTCTCCAGTGCATTTGTTCGCTGTCTTTCTGTCAGTTGCTCTCACCTCCTTTTGGCAGGGAATCAGCAATGACTGCTCTGTGTGGGTGGGCTGCACCACTAAGTATGGGACTTCCAGCAAAGCACTTTCATCATCTTTTCTACCAGTATCGTCTGCAGTGCTCCTCTGTCAGACTCTGAAAGGATAAATAGGATATGAGCAATGCTTTAACTACCTGTGATGATGTCATTCCATTCATACAAATTAATCAACAAGATTAATTTTTACACAAAGCATTTCATTTAATGCCTAGAAGCTGATATTATCATTCAATCCGTAATTATCACACAGTGTCTATAATGAATACTTTGACTTGCCATCTGCATTCACATTAGGAAGATAATTGACTGCATGAGTGACAAACATGAACATTAGGAATTGCTAATCCAAATGTATTCAAGTTTAGACCAAAAGTTACAGGAGTAGAATTAGGCTATTTGGTCCATCAAGTCTGCTCCGCCATTCGATCATGGCTATTTGGATTAATTTGTAAAATTAAAGAACTAATTAGGGTCAAATATGAAAGATGCATGCAGTTTTGTACAACTCATGACTTACTCATGTTGATGAATAATCCATGATCTGTATATGTATGGAGATTTGTACCCCCCTATTTGATCCTAGCCTATCAAATCTCTGTTCATAACTGAATCGCTTCAGCTCAGGCAACATCCTGGTGAACCTCTGCTGCTCCCTCTCTAGTGCAATCACTAAACTGTAGCAGAACTGTACACTGTACTCCACCTGTGGGGCTAACTTATGTTATATACAGCTCCATTATAACCTCCTCGCTGTTGTATTCAGTGCCTCGACCAATAAAGGCAAGTATCCCATATGCTGTCCTCACCACCTTATCTACCTGTCCCTGTTGACTCCAAGGAGATATTGACATGTACATCAAGGTCTTTATGATCCTGTATACTTCCTAGGTACCTACCATTGGTTCATTAATGTCCTTTAGGGAAGGATGCTGCCATCCTTACCTGGTCTGGCCTATATGTGACTCCAGACTCATAGCAATGTGGTTGACTCTCAACTGACCTCTGGGAAATTAGGGAGGGGCAATAAATGTTGCCTAGCCAGCGATGCCCTCATCCCATCAATGAATAGAGAAAAAAAGAATTCGATATCTGCCCTCTTGCCTTGTTAATCCTCCCACAGTGCATCACCCCTCACTTTTCAGGATTAAATTCCACGTGCCACTGTTCAACCCATCTGGTGAAGCAGTTGAAGGCTTTCCTCCTCTCTATTTACCACACCAATTTTCATGTCATCTGTCAACTTACTGATCATGTCTCTGACATTTATATCTAGATCATTAATATACAAAGCAAACAGTAAGGGACCAAACACCGAACCCTGTGGTATACCACTGGAGACAGGTTTCAGTCACAAAATGCCCTTCAAACATCACCCTCTGCTTCCTGCCACTAAACCAATTTTGGGTCCAATCTGTCAAATTGCCCTAGATCCCGTAGGCTGTTAGCTTCTTAACCAGTTGTCATGCAAGACCATGTCAAAAGCCTTACTGAAGTTTGTATAGCCTACATCAACTGCACTACACTCATCAAACTCGAAAGATTGAATTAAATTTGTTTGATATGATTTCCACCTGACTATTCTTGATTAATCTTTGTGTCTCCAAGTGGAGGTTAATTCTGTCTCTCATAATTTTATCCAATAATTTCTGTACCACTGATGTTAGACTGACTGGCTGGTAGTTCTCTGGTTTAGCCTCACCACCTTTCCTGAATAATGTTACCATATTAGCTGTCCTCTAGTCATCTGATACCCTTCCTGTAGCCAGACAGCATTTGAAAATGAATGTCTCCTCCTGTAGCAAAGTATTACAAGATAGCTAACTACTGTCACTCATCATCAGCCTGTAAGCTGCTGCATCAGACTAGTGACTGAGAGACTGAACAATTAATGTGTGAATTGCCCTGCGTTTTCAGTAAAGAACTGAGGGAGGGTCACTGGACCCGAAACGTTAACTCTGATTTTGTCTTCACAAATGCTACCAGACCTGCTGAGCTTCTCCAGCAATTTCTGTTTTTGTTCCTGATTTACAGCATTCCCAGTTCTTAGAATCCCTACAGTGTGGAAACAGGCCCTTCAGCCCAACAAGTCCACAGCGACCCTCAGAGCATCAGACCCAGACCCATCCCCTAGAACCCAACCTAATCAACACATCCCTGAACACATGCGGGCAATTTAGCATGGCCAATCCACCTAACCTGCACATCTTTGGACTGTGGGAGGAAACCGGAGCACCTGGAGGAAACCCACGTAGACAGGGGGAGATAACAAGGTGTAGAGCTGGATGAACACAGCAGGTCAAACAGCATCAGAGAAGCAGGAATGCTGACGTTTCAGGCCGAGACCCTTCTTCAGAAATGGGGGAGGGGAAGGGGGTTCTGAAATAAATAGGGAGAGAGGGGGAGGCGGATAGAAGATGGATAGAGGAGAAGATAGGTGGAAAGGAGACAGACAGGTCAAAGAGGCGGGGATGGAGCCAGTAAAGGTGAGTGTAGGTGGGGAGGTAGGGAGGAGATAGGTCAGCCCAGGGAGGACGGACAGGTCAAGGGGGCGGAATGAGGTTAGTAGGTAGGAGATGGGGATGGGGCTTGAGGTGATAGGAGGGGATAGATGGGAGAAAGGACAGGTTAGGGAGGCGGGGATGAGCTGGGCTGGTTTTGGGATGCGGTAAGGGGAGGGGAGATTTTGAAGCTTGTGAAGTCCACATTGATACCATTGGGCTGCAGGGTTCCCAAGTGGAATATGAGTTGCTGTTCCTGCAACCTTCGGGGTAGCATTGTTGTGGCACTGCAGGAGGCCCAGGATGGACATGTTGTCTGCGGAATGGGACGGGGAGTTGAAATGGTTCGCGACTGGGAGGTGCAGTTGTTTATTGCGAACCGAGCGTAGGTGTTCTGCAAAGTGGTCCCCAAGCTTCTGCTTGGTTTCCCCGATGTGGAGGAGGCCACAACGGGTACAGCAGATGCAGTATACCACATTAGCAGATGTGCAGGTGAGCATCTGCTTGATGTGGAAAGTCTTCTTGGGGCCTGGGATGGGGGGAGGGGGGAGGTGTAGGGGCAGGTGTAGCACTTCCTGCGGTTGCAGGGAAAGGTGCTGGGTGAGGTGGGGCTGGAGGGGAGTGTGGAGTGGACAAGGGAGTCAAGGAGAGAGTGGTCCCTCCGGAAAGCAGATAAGGGTGGGGAGGGAAAAATGTCTTTGGTGGTGGGGTCGGATTGCAGATGGCAGAAGTGTCGGAGGACGATGCGTTGGATCCGGAGATTGGTGGGGTGATATGTGAATGCGAGGGGATTCTGTTTTGGTTGTTATTGCGGGGAGGGGGTGTGAGGGATGAGTTGCAAGAAATGCGGGAGACACGGTCGAGGGTGTTCTCGACCACTGAGGGGGGGAAGTTGCGGTCCTTGAAAAACGAGGATATCTGAGATGTACGGGAGTGGAATGCCTCATCCTGGGAGCAGATGCGGCGGAGGTGAGGGAATTGGGAATAGGGGATGGCATTTTTGCAGGAAGGTGGGTGGGAGGAGGTGTATTCTAGGTAGCTGTGGGAGTCAGTGGGCTTGAAATGGGTATCGGTTTCTAGGTGGTTGCCGGAGATGGAGACAGAGAGGTCAGGGAGGACAGAGAGGTATTAGAGATGGTCCAGGTGAACTTAAGGTTGGGGTGGAAGGTGTTGGTGAAGTGGATGAACTGTTCGAGCTCCTCGTGGGAGCACGAGACGGTGCCGATACAGTCATCAATGTAACGGAGGAAGAGTGGGGTTTAGGGCCAGTGTAAGTACGGAAGAGGGACTGTTCCACGTAATCTACAAAGAGGCAGGCATAGCTTGGGCCCATGCGGGTACCCATGGCCACCCCCTTTATCTGTAGGAAGTGGGAGGAATTGAAAGAGAAGTTGTTGAGGGTGAGGACAAGTTCAGCTAAGCGGATGAGGGTGTCAGTGGAGGGGGACTGGTCGGGCCTGCGGGACAGGAAGAAGCGGAGGGCCTTTAGGCCATCTGTATGGGGAATGCAGGTGTATAGGGATGACCATGGTAAAGATGAGGTGTTGGGGACCGGGGAATTGGAAGTTCTTGAGGAGGTGGAGGGCGTGGATGGTGTCACGGACATAGGTAGGGAGTTCTTGGACCAAGGGGGAGAAAATGGAGTCCAGATAGGTGGAGATAAGTTCGGTGGGGCAGAAGCAGGCGGAGACAATGGGTCGACCAGGGCAGTCAGGTTTGTGGATTTTGGGAAGGAGATAGAAGTGGGCGGTGCAGGGTTGGGGAACGATGAGGTTGGAGGCTGTGGGTGGGAGGTCACCTGAAGTGATGAGGTTGTGGATGGTTTGGGAGATGATGGTTTGGTGGTTTCTGGAGGAGGTGGGA